CCGCAGTGTTGACTATTAAACATCAAAGGCGGATGCAGCAAAACGACATGTGTTTAAAATAAATTGTTGAACTATTGAAAACAATACACAATTTTCTTCATGACTCAAAACTTCAGATCCATTTAAAACACAGTTTAACTGTACAGTGTCGCTGCACCGCAACCACGATTGACCATAGCAAAGTCGCACGCTGAGTAGCATAACGGGGACATTCAAGTAGATAATGTTTTACAGTTTCTTTTCCTTGTTTACATGCACATATAGGAGAAACTGCACAATTAATAAAAAATAAATAATCAGTAAGAGCACAACAACCTAAATGTAACCTAGCATGTAAAATAGAAGCTCGTCTGCTTAGTGAGGAATCAAAGAAACGGTTGTACTTTAAAGGATGCAATAAATTATTTAATGTATGTTTAAAGACAAATAATGAGTCTAACTATCTTATATCTAAAGACAGGTTATTCCATAAATTTATAACTGAAGGAAAGAGAGATGTTTTAAACATTTCCGTTCTACACTGAAAATTTGAAAATTCAGTAGCTGACCTCAAACGAAAATTTGATTTCTCACCTACTCTCAATGGCACCAAATCACTAATATAAGCTGGAGTCATTCTATTTACAGACTTATAGAAGAATATTATTTTATGAATTTTTCTTTTAGTTTTCAGCTTTACCCAGGCTAGTTCCTCACGTAATTTCCGAGCACTGGTGCCTTTAATTGCACCCGTAATAATTTTAGCAGCATCTTAGGCTATTAAACGCTTTCGAGTAAATCACTATTTCCTGATGTACAATTATCCCAAACAATATCAGCATATTCCATTTGTGGCCGTATCAAACCTGTATACAAACATCTAAGAGTAGACCTATCTAGATGGAATTTGAATGATTTAATTTCATCACATTTAATCGTTTAGAGGCTTTTTCATAAATTTCCAACACATGCTTATTCCAAGACATATTGTTTTGAAATGTAAGACCCAGATGGGTATGAGAACTAACTTCTTCAATATCCAAACCTCTCAATGTAAGTTCCGGATGATCTATTTTGTCTCTTTTCAATGAAAATAACATAGATCTAGTTTTTGAGGGGTTCATAGTAACCAACCACTTATCTGACCACTCAGAAATCTTAGCTAAATCGTTATTAAGATTTTCACCTGATTCAACAGGATCATCTACGACCTTAAATAGCGTGGTATCATCAGCATAAACAAAAAGCTTTGATTGAAGATTGTCTGTAATATCATTTACATATATTAAGAACAAAAGTGGCCCTAGTACTGAACCTTGAGGTACACCCGAATATAATTTTCTCCATTACGATGATTGACCCTCGAGAACGGCACGTTACATTCTATCCTGCAAATATCTTTCAAATCAATGCAGTAAAGAACCACAAATACCAAGCGATTCCAGTTTTCTTAACAATCCGCGATGCCACACACGGTCAAACGCCTTACTTAAATCTAAATACACAACTCTTACTTCTTTTCTTTGCTCAAAGGCGAGATAAATCTGATGAACTATATACAACAATTGATTTACTGTCGAATCTCCAGGTCTGAATCCGGATTGAAAACGATAAAGAAAGCCGATTTCTATCAAGTAGTCATATAGTCTTTTAAAGGCAACTTTTTCACATAATTTTGATAAACAAGGTAAAAGTGAATAACTTGCAGTCGAGTGAATTTTACATTGGGGGCTCTTTAGTCAGGGACGATTATAAGGTCCTTAATTTCCCTCTCAAATTTTACAGATTATTGCTTGTTTACAAATTATTGTGGATGGGTGGAGGGGGGGGGGGGGCTGAAGACCCCAGCTACGACACACGGATTGCTGTATATTGAATTAAGAGCGAATACATACGTATTATACTTAGGCTATAAAGAAATCGAGGTTTTATAAATGGTGCCGCAGCTTCTCTTGCTTTGCATGCATCATCTACATGCTATATACATGTTGTACGTTATCTGAAATTTCTTCAACAGCACGCAAAGTATGTGTCATTACTGATATGTTATATGGTATATATCATTATATGTTATATGCTATATATTATATGTCATTATTTGATATATTGACATTATATATTGCCGAGCCGGTTCATGCAAATATAGCTGTATATAATCGCCTATATCAAATTGCAACATGCATATTACTCGAATTGAATCAAAGTAGCCTACAATCAAATTAAATTAAGTAACAAGGTGTATATGAATAAAGGAAGTATGGTATCTATAGGACAGTTCGAATCAACCGTCCATGTTGTCCATTTCCTTCAGGTGCGTTGAATGAATCTGTAAAAACTTCCCCAAATTCGGTTGGATCATTCGTTCTTCCCTAATCAAGTATCAGTATTAAATAGGTGTCTAGCTGTACTGGATCTCTAGTTATAATTTTGAATAGCTATAGGTCTATACAGCAACAATTAAAGTTCGGAATCTGTATTTTGATACTATATACCTGTTTTTATATCAAACAAATTTGCATTTTTCCCCTCTTTTATTTAATAATATCAGTAAGACAGTAATACATGTATATAAAGTCATATGCATTTTAACATATTTCGGGGTTTTTAACATGTATATACTTTAATTAAACTAGGGAGATGTTTAGGCTTTTATTAAATACTATTTAAAACACGAGTAGGAGTGTTTTATCAGATATATAACGCTCGACGATCTGATAAAACACAACAACGAGTGTTTTGAATAGCTTAAAATACGACTACAAAAGAATACTAATTAGGATGACCATAGTATAATCATGCTAATTAAGATGAACAATTATATAATGCCACATGTGTTTTATCAGATATAAAGTCACTCCACGTGACATATTATGGCTGACATGATTTGCCACAAGGTTTATGAATTATTAATGAGTATTTTAAAGAATACATAAACTTTCATATATGAAGTTGTTTAATTAAATTAACGTTTATCGCATATACAATGTAAAGTATCATTGGAAATCTATTATGCTTGGCTTAATGTATTTACCTCACTACCGATTTACTGGTACAGTCAGAGTTAGGTCGACCAGCTGTGCCTGGCAAGTTCGTGTGTCATAATCTTAAGCTTTATTACGAAAGATTGTAAAACGTATGCGTTAAGTTTTGCTTGATTGTAGCTGCTAAACACGGATTACAGGAACAAACTAAACTAACTGGCAGACGATTCGTCATATCAATAAAGCTAATTCCAATTGCTTTCGTTTGTAGGCCTATACATAGGGATAATGATTAAATAAGTTAAAATTTGGAAATCATCGAAATCCCATCAAAAGGGCATGGCTACAAATTTTCTACCGACTGCCCTTCATCTCGCATCGCCCCTCCTGCCCTTTTATCGCTCCGGCGTCCCTGCAGATTTATCGCCAAAAAGCAGTTAATTTCAGTAGTGAAAATTTAAAAACGTTTTACGAAGCGTTTCATGTTGAATTTTACATTATAATAAAGCCCATAGAATGCAATATAACTTACCTGCAGTATATTCGAAAAATTGGTAGTTCCGTGGTTAAAATTAAAGTGTAAAGCCCGTTCTCCACTATAGGCGAATTTGTTCGCGCGACGCGAAGCGAAAAACAAATATTGGCAATGCGATTGGTCAGCGAAAAAATTCGCAGCGAAAAAGTTGGATCAGTTCCCACTTTTTTACTGTTCACGCGAACAAATTCGCCTTGTCAGTGAAGAACGGGCTTAAAACATTAATTTATTTTTGCTGTTTTATACAAAACTAACATGAAGCGAGCAACGTGAGCCTGTGTTCAGAGTTGGCGTATTCACTTGAGTCCATAGTCATTCCACACAACACCAACACACATACACACATACACACACAAAGAATACTTCATGTTGAAACAATGTTCGAAAATGTGGGCGAGGGGTTGTTGCATGCATGTATTTCTAGTATAGCACTATTCACTTTCATATCAAGTCATATCTTATATCACTAGCACATTATTAATCTACCTGTATAGAAGACTCAGCATGAGCTCCACGGGCTCCACCTTATACACCACTATATATGAGTAAATTCTTAAACACGTTCGAATTTATCATTATGATAAATTCGTGGCATCTAACCCCTAACCCCTAACCCTAATCTAACTTTTTTGATTTTTTTGAAAATTTAACTCTTTAAACTGTTTTTCTTTTTAAAACTTTTATAAACTTTTTTTTCGAAAATCATGAAAATCCTAAAAGTTTCGAAGCACATCTTTTACAAACTATCAAAATTGTTGCATGTTGGCGTTAACTCTGCCAGACCTGGCTACTTCATTTTAAGAACAATCAAAATCGCTCTTGACATTCACCATGTTAATTATGCAAACTATATTTAAGTTTGTCACCGCGACAAAATCGTTATCTTTTGAGCTTGTTTGACCACAAGTTAAGCTGGGATGTATAAGGTTTTTAAACGTAGGGTCCTAGAAATTTTCACTCCAAACAATTAGGCAAGAAAGCAGTCGTTCATTGAATCTGAACCAATTGTGCTGAAACATAATATATCAAAAAGAATATCCCATAAAATATATATCACGCCGTAGTCGTACTACTGTCGATGCAGAAAAAAACAAAGAATACAAGACTTAGAGATTTGGGACTGCATGATAGTGAATAATTAAGCGGGCTTTCAACAGATATTCAAATGTTATTCAAATTGCAAATAGAAAAGAACAGTGACTGTCGTAAAGAGTAATTATTTATAAGACTAACCAAATTAAATATATCCACATATATATATATATATATATATATATATATATATATATATATATATATATATATATATATATATATATATATATATATATATATATGTATGTATGTATATATATATATATATATATATATATATATATATATATATATATATATATATATATATATATTCAATATTGAATTTGTGCGTAGTGAACTAGAGTGCTCAACACCAATAAATCAGTAGAGCAAATAAAAAGACATAAACAACAAATTTCAATCTTAAAATTTTATTTCATCTCTACACAGTGTTTCACGTACAGCGTACGATCATCAATCGCCTGATGATCGTACGCTGTACGTGAAACACTGTGTAGCGATGAAATAAAATTTTAAGATTGAAATTTGTTGTTTATGTCTTTATATATATATATATATATATATATATATATATATATATATATATATATATATATATATATATATATATATATATATATGTATATAATGTAGAATAATGAAAAAAAATTCTTGAACTCAAATTTTGTGAACCAGGGGGGGTGTCTTTTCCAATCATAATCATATTTTAAGTTAATAGATGGAAAATTTGCCAATTTTTCAATTACTGTACAAAATTTCAGGCAATTTGGTTTAGTTTAAGCCCTTTAACTATTCACGCAAAATTATATTTTTCCTAAAAATCAGCTATTTGCATGCTTAATTAATGCCTTTGCCTAATTTGCATATGTTAGCAATATGCAAATTAGGTAAACGCATTAATTAAGCATGCGAAAGGCTGAATTTTTAAAATAAAATGAATAGTTAAAGGACTTAAACTCAACCAAATTGTCTGAAATTTTGTACATGCAGTAATTAAAAACCCGATAAAGTTTCCATCTATTAACTCAAAATATGATTACAACTTTGAAAGAAAAGAAATTGAAACATTTTAAGATAACAAATTATATATATATATATATATATATATATATATATATATATATATATATATATATATATATATATATATATATATATATATATATATATGTATATAAAACGTTCTTATTTATACCTATTTTAAACTATTTAAAATTAGCATAAATTCGTTACATTAGAAGAGTTTCCTACGATGAGCGTTTAGAATTGCCATTTTTTCTGCCAGGCACAGTTTACAAACTCTTGTTCCACTTGTGTACGGTTTAGCCTGCTTCAAAATTGACCATTTAATTTCATAATCCCTTTTCGTTTGCTTCAGGTCCCAAATGAATTTCGATAGCGCTGTTTTGTTTGTATAGTCTTTGTTCTTAAATGATAGGGTATGGTTGTAAAACCTCGTTTTGAATTCCGATTCCCTCATGCCGACGTAAACCTTAGGGTCGTCGTCTTTTCCTGGTTCAAAGACTTTCGCTTGGTATATTGTAGCTGTTGTTAAACATTGATTATCTAATGGGCAGTTATTCTTGTTTCTACAATTGCATCCGGCGCTGCTTGCTTTCTCGTTGTTCAAAACTTTTTTTGTTATGTCCTTTAATTATGCTGGCCATGTTATTCATGCAACTATAGCTTATTTTTATTGTATTTCGGTTAAAGATTTTTCTTAAAGTGTTGCCAGGTGGGAAATGTTTGTCAACAAGCCTATATAACTAATAAGCAGTAACTGTTTTTTGATTTCCAAATATTTTCTGACCTGCAACCTGTTAAAAAAGGCGATTTGAAGCTAGTGAAAGTCTTTGCACCTATTTTTTTATCTATTTTGTGCGATTTCGAAACTGATTAACTTAAAAACAACTTGGCAAATAAAAAACTGCTTAAATGTTCTATAGACAGTTTTTGTATCTGCGAAGCAGATATATATATGCTATTGTAAACGTGCCGTGACCGTACCATGACTGTTACCGTATGTTAACACATAGCCATTCAGCGACGAGCTTATATAATTTAAGCCATTTTATGCCAATTTAAGCCAATCAGCGATTCGTTTACATCAATTGTTTACATCGTGCCCGCTGATCTAACCTGCGAACGGGCATAATTTAGCCTTGTCAGGCTTCGTGTATAAATCGTGTTTATATTCTTTGAAAAATACCTTGATATTTTTATCAATTTATCTTAAATTGGCTGTCTTGTTTTCTATCAACGTTATTTATCAGCATGGAATCTTATCCTCATCTGGTAAGTAGTCAAATACCTCATATATTTAAATGTGCAATTTGTGCAAATATATGTCCCACATATTTTATAATACATGAGTTCGCCAGTTCGGCAAATATTTAATTTACTAACAATCTATAGTTAATATTGCCGTATCTTCGGCGTAGAGTTTACATGCATGGAATGCACTCTGGAATTTTTTATTAATATATTACACTGTATAAAATATTGGATATTTTCGAGGATATTTAAAGCCATTTGTCAATATAGTTCACAAAAAGATTTATACAGTATTAAAAACAATCCTTCTGTGACTTCTGTAATATTTTAATTAAACAGTGAAAACATTCTCAGGAGATATTGAATTAAATCCTCGTCCTGTATTTCTGTATATTGACTCCATAACTCTGTTCAGAACAACAGTCCAATTATAAAGCTATCATCAAATGTAGTGTTAGAGCAAAGGTTAAAGATGTTATCAGTTAAAATACTTATACAGTTTGGTTTTACACATTAGAGTTCATTAAACAAAATTTTTACAAACATTTTCAAATAAAAGAATCCTCACCCTCCCGAGCCTCATTACATTGTCATTTTGCTTTCTAACATAAATATTTTTCTTTAGAGATTAATACAGGAATGAAGAATAAATGTACTGGATATTGGCTGTATAATTTTTTTCAGAACAACAAACTTGCAAGACAATCTTACCTAAATTCATTAGTATGGAAAATAATTTAACAGCTACAATGAGTAATCATATATTATATGGTGGATTTGATCAATGGCACACAATGTACAAAACTAAACTTGTGATACCTTCTACTCAAACCGATAGTCTCCCACAACACGATTGTTTTTGTGTGAATGTGCTGTACGTGTTAAACCGAACAGTGTGGTATATCATTAACTGTGCACAGAACTGGAATTTAATTATATACTTCACTCATGACCTTCAAAACATTCTCAATTATTAAGTGCATGGTCTTCGACATGTTCACCAAATATTTTGTGTATGTTACTCAACAGTTAACATTGGCAAGTGTAAACAACAAGTGACATAACTTTTGCTTCATATGATTACAATAAAGTTATGAAAATTTGATGAGTGTATGGATTGAATTGACAGGTGACAGTTTACGTACTAAATAGCCTGCTGTATAGACACTTTGAATATTGTTTGCATGAAATTTTTATTTCCTGACTGCATAATTATCTGTTACAATAAACACATTATAAAGTTAGTTAAATTTTCTTGGTGCAGGGGTGGGGGGAGGGGCACTTGCCCTGCTGCACTCTCCGCTGTGTATACAGCCCTGTTTTAAATCTTATCGGCTATTATAATAAGTGATTTAATATTTCAATTGTCCCATGTCATCTGCATTATTCAGTTTCTTTCAAGAAAATACAAAATGTGAATCAAGTTTTTTCGCAGATACATGTACGCATCGCGTACCTATTTTTTGTGTAAGTTTTAACCACACAACTTATTTTTTTCTGTGAGCTACCTTGGAATTTTGAAGCTGTTCCATCAGTAATAGAAATTTATATTAAAATGTCAGAAATTCAACATTTTTAGCTGCTAGCGTTAATTTCACAGATGCCTCCATATCTTCCATTCATACTTGTGTCAAAGTCTACACATAGCTACTGTCAATGGTGTGGTGATTTCTTCACTAACTGCACAATTATTGCGAAATTGTGCGCTGTCCGCCCCACTATTATGGTATATGCATTAGTGAAGATTAAAGGAAACTATATCTGTTACCATCGGCGTACGGGAGCGGAAAAAGTAGGGGGGGAGAAGAATGAAATTTGTCCAACTTTTGTATTTTGCCTGACCGATCAATATCCTACCCTGCTGGTTAGATTAAATTTTTTGATTACTTCCTGTATATACAATATTCCAATCTTTATTTTTTCTAGCAACTGGTTTGCCTCCAGTGGTGAGTGTGTGTCCGACCAGGTCAATTACCCCCTGTGCTATTGGTCGTGTCCACTCGCCTGGATTCGCTGATAACTATGGCATTTATGTGAATTTGAGAAAGACCATGTCAGGCGGATTAACAACAAAGTTTCTTATATGGCTCCAGTTTATATCCACCTAGCATAGTCTGGCTATTTTAACATTGATGTCCTGGTCAAATATAAGCAGATTCCTGGTTACATAACCAGACTGTGACAAGAAGTGATATAAAATAACATGGAAATTTAACCAAGACTATTAAGTTAACCCAAATAGTGTTATTTCTAGGATATAACCAGGAATTATTCTTCTAAAACTTTCACCTCTGGTCATCATTAATTATATTAGGCCTATTTTAGACAGATATTTCGATAATGAGAACAGACACGCGCGTTCACGTGCATTTTAGTTTGAAATTAAGCTTGGGCAGAACGAACGTTAAATTAGTTTGTACACGTCAACATTTACAAAGTTGTAATAACCTGAAGACGGACAGTAAAACTGTCCGAAACGTTGTTAAAAATAAAGTAAACCTCTTGAAAAATCCTGTTTGAAAGTGAATTGAATTATATAATTAATAACCAGGAATGTTTCATTAACCAGAGTGCTTTTAGAGTTAACAAAAATCAATTGCAGGCTTGTATTAAAACATGGCGAAAGGCCCAATATATACTTATTCATTGTAATCGTTGATACTATATGACAATCCTACCAAAGTAAATACGAAACACAATAGTTAGCAACAAGCTAACAGCGTCGTCGTCGTCTTCTTCTTCTTCAGGGTAGGAATATCTGATATCTGTTTCTGAGCTGAGGAGAAACCACTGCGAGCAAACGAACGATCGATCGTTTCATGTAGCCACAG